ATTTCACTTAATGAAACAACTTTAAATTCACAATTCCAAGTCAAAAACATTGCCTAGCGTATCGTTTACACACTCAATACTACAAGTTCAAATGAAAATACTGACAACAGATTATGTTTCATTTATTTTTTTTAAATTTTTATTATATTTTCATTTTTTTAATGGATAAAATACAGAATACTGTACTGAAATGTGTGGCTTAACACATACCACTTGGTAATTAAATTCCCTTAATCGATTTATAGCAAAATGTAAACATTTCAAACCAAGTACAAACAAAATGTACCAAAATAACATCAAATATTAGGAAAAGTGAAACATCTTCTAAATGGCTGAACCATAAGCCTAATGGAAAGCATATAGATTTTTTTCGAATCCCAACCCACTGTTAATTTGCGAGCTATTTACGATCTATTCAAGATGGGCCTACACGATATAAAAATATTCTACAATGCCGACGGGCTGTTAGAAATGCTAAGGTATGTGTGTTTAAAGTCAAAGTGCAATTAGTATATTTTAATCTATAATATACACATATTCTATTTACATTGTTATACTTTTCAATTTCTTTGCTTTAAATTTTTACGCAATACCGCTGCAGATACACATTTGGAATTAAATCATCTACAGTTTATCAACCAATACGAAAATCATACAAAATTATCAACGAATAACCAACACCTATTGAGAAATACAATTAAAATTCAAAACAGGCAAATACGTCATTATGATAAATGCATAATACCTGTTTAATACCGAGACATACTGTACGTCACCGTCGTGATAATCCTTTACCCAAACCAGATCGATATAAGTGACCAACAAATGTACGACGATATAACGACCACCGCCGTAATTCTAGATTAAATATGAATCGTATAAACAGAAGTAAATCCAAGTGGTTTGATACAGTAATCCCTGATCACAAATGCGGCAGCCTACAATAGGTCTACGCCAACATGATTTATTATAAGAACTTGTAAAAACGGTATACAATACCAGCGTATTCAATTCGAAATTTAGGAAAACCTATACTTATGTACAAAATGGAGAAAAAGACTATTCCATAAATAAATACATAATAACACAACTAACATCCCCAATTCCAGGCACATTTTTTTTCAAGACCATGTTTATTACGATTTAAGATAAATATATACCAAAAATTGCATATGAATTATAATGATTTGAAATTCAATAAAAAATGCTTCAACAATGAGTGTGCAGATCACATGTACTGTAGGCCAGCTTGGTCCCTAAGCATTCACTAGTTTGTTGTGGTTACTGAATTATATGGTAGGCCTACTCGTTTTGTTTAACGTAGCTTTCTCATGAACTTACGCCATGATCACTTTCGTGCAACGTATTAATACGATACGTAATGCGCGTACACAGATCATGCTTACGCACTGCATCACAAATCACAGTGAAAAGGATGTTTTATTTCATCCAGATATAAAACTTCTATGGATAAACTGATGAAACCGTGCCAGAAAAAATGATGACGTCATATCCTTGGACAGTCACTTTAATGCCTAATAAAAAATATCGAATTCTGCGCTTCCTTGTAGTTACCGGGAAGGAAATCGTGTTGAGGCATTTGTGGATGCTATTTTTACTTAATGCATACAGTACTCGTAAAACAAAATAATTTCTAGTGTACTGGCTAACCAGAAGGAATATGAAATTTTACACGCCGACGACGCTAACATGAGTCTATGCATCTGAGTCTAGACAAGAGAATGTGCCGCAATCGCCTTGTTGTAGGCTATAAACAGATGCCAACATTATATAAACTGCATTCGTGACTATTCTTTATAATACAGTTAAGTATATGTTATATTGTAACACTGTCAATTACTTTTAATGAGAAATCTATGAAAAAGAGTAATTTTAGATAGTTACAGTGTAATACCTAAGGTCAAAAGTAAAACAAGATATCAATTGTCAATCATGTAGACAATCATTGCTGTAGAGTACACTCAAATTTGATCTGATAATTAGTGTAGATACAGTACAGCTATATAACTGGAAAGATAAAAAAATAGATAGGCCTACATGAGCCTAAAAATGCCCACTAAATAATTCATTTTGATGTGTTTTACAAACTACGTATTCATGAGATATTGCATTTTGCATTTTAATCATTACATTTCGAGGTAACTTAATAATTATACTTTTATAATAATTATACTATTTTAAATCTCTGAATTAAAGCCAACCAGCAACATAAACAAAAGCAGAACATAAATCAGTAAACATGATAGAATAGGATCGTTGCAAGGGTATAGGTATATCTTGCTTTATTATTCATGTAATGGTTATCAATTAGTATTATTCTTATCATCTTCATCATCATCATCTATTATTAATCATCATCATCATCATCATTATTATCATCATTATCACCATAGCAATCCTGCTTTATTAGTATGGTATTATTATTATTATTATTATTATTATTATTATTATTATCATCATCATCATTATCATTATCATCATTATTATCATTATCACTATCGCCATAGAAATCCTAGCTTTATTAGTTGCTGGCCGACATAACGATGCATGACATGATTTGACTACAAAGAAGCAGTTCCACTCCATAAATAACTGGATTCGTATACATTAGCTTGAAACTGATTGTTTTACTCTGTTTAAATTAAAAAATGAATAAAAATAACGTTGCATATTAGTATTTGTTATAATTAAGGCAGTAGATATTTAGCCTACTGTTTCCGTTAACAATTTCGTGATTTCAGTGCGAGCGCACTTTAACCCTAAACTTAAGGAGTTATAACCAGCAAAACAAACATTTAGTATAATAAATTATCGAAATTAATTATAATAATACAAATGACATTACTAATAATAACATTTTTAATAGTAAAAATAATAATGAATAATATTATTAATTATTAATATTAGGCCTACTGTATTGCATCTTCCCAATCCGTCGTTTTTCAGTGGACTTCAGGGAAGGAGAAGCGTATTAGAGGTCAGCTTACAATTAATGGATAGCTAACGATTAGGCCTTCACATAATATATTAGAGTCTTGAATAAATGAGTAATTCTATAATTTCCAACACTAGGATTGGTTTCAGTATCCAGATCAGATAGAGACAGTGAATATATTAGACCTAATAATTACGTAAAATAATAAGGCTTTATAAATGGCTGAGACACACATGGCTTTCCAAATCCTAATGTAGAATTTTATTTATATCAAATAATAATTAAATTTTGTATAATAAGATAAGATCGCGTGACTTAACGTTTGACCTCAACACGACGATTCTAGTTGCGGGTATCTGGATACCAGTAAATGTACATCAGAATTAACAAGTCAATTGCCTCAAGCATTATTAAACCAAAAAAAGGCGTTCAGTGAAGGGCAAACGTATCGGTTAATGAACATACTATTATAACACCGTTTTACATCCAAGTGAAATAAGGACTTTTAACTAAGCAGAGGCCACCGAAAGCATCAACTCGTAACAATATCGATTGGGGCGCTATGATAATGTCTGACGGTTTTATAATTAATATTCATTAAGACGGCCAAGGCCAGGTTTACAAAAAAATACAGGCGAGTCCATATGAATAACAGTAAAACATATAAATTAGAAAAAAAAATTTTATTAAAAAAAAATGCGTCAATTCATGTCGACACATCGATATTGTAGCTTCCGAAGGCAATTATGCTAGCCGATAGCTAAAAAACGAAATATTCATACTGTGTATCACTGCTGTAAACTCAACCTGGACCATATTTTTGTTATGTAATTATTCACTCGAAAAAAATGTTTCAAAAACTGCATGATTAAAATTGGCAGATGGACTTGCTTAGATCCAGGAGATACAACTATTTCGAAGCATCTACCCGTTGTAATAACAATAACTATAGCATTCATTAATCAACATTGCTTATGTCGCTAACCGTAAGGAATGGGGCTTAATTGCAGACTGGACAATCTATCCATCATGCTTTAAGGTGCTCGAATGATAAAGGAGGCCTAACACAACATGGTTTTACTTCAAATAGTCACATTTTATCTTATGGATAGGACCATCCAATGATAATTTAAAACAAAATCGCATCCAATAATTTGTATTAATAATTTCATAGATCAAATATCGAGGCGATCTATCATCATCATCGTCATCATCATCATCATATTATTATTATTATTATTATTATTATTATTATTATTATTATTATTATTATTATTATTATTGTTTTTGTTGTTGTTATTGTTATTATTAATAACATTATTATGAATTTTTTTATTTAATTGATTATTATTAATATTATTATTTATAGCATTTATACGATCTGATTTAGATTAAAGTATAATAAAACAAAAAAGTGAAGAATAGACATTGATATGCGAACTATTAATTAATGTTGGTACAGAATGTAAATGAAAATGTTTTTTTTTATGTTTTGTTCAATGCGAGTAAAATAAATGCTTGAATGATGTCTGCCGGTCCAAACTAAAGTTGTGGACACTTCTATTGGTCATAAAGTTTTTTCCCACATTTAATTCAGAATAGGCCTAGATTGTATTGTATACTTTTAAATTTCGCAGATTTCGAATAATAAAAGGGCAAGTACACACTCGTGTGTTTGTTGTCTTCTCTTGCCTAAACAATTAATTATTGCACAAATATCATTGCATCATACACACCAATATTAGATTTATCGACCTATTTTTTAATTTGAGACCTATTTAAATAAATAAATCTATATATCAAAGTTATAAATGAATGAATGAATAAATAAATAGATGCATGAATGAATGAATGGATTGAGTGATTGACTGACTGAATGAATGAATGAATGAATGAACGAATGAATGAATGAATGAATGGATGAATGAACAGTGGCGTATCTAGGGGTGCGCAATCCCCTTCAAAAGTTCCCCTTCTACGCCCCTGTGAATGAATGAATGAATAAATAAATGAATTAATTAATTAACGTATACATAATCATACATACTAAAATAACACTGATTCGTACTTTTTATTGTAGTTTTTAAACGAAACACCTTTTTTAAATGTAAATACGGTAATAAAACGTATGAAGCATTAATAAATATAAACCATTTAAAAACATCGTGCAATCAAGAATCAAAACATTGTGATAATTATAAGAACATACAATATCGATCACCTCAGTCTTAGATACAAAATATTGCGAGCAAATGGATAATATACCGTACGTTATTAATGAAATGGGGGATTCAGATTACTTATTTATTAACCCACAATCCGTCAACGCAAAACAATTAGCGCCCACAAACATCGCCCACAATTACCGCCTACAAATCGTTAAAACATGCATACATGTTAATAACATGTAATAACTAAATACGTCTCTTAACACGCAAAATTTCAAGTATTTTTTTTTCAATGTTAACAGTTACATTAAGCACTATGACGTAATACGAAGAAGACGATAATGTTGCCGAAATACATGGTTGACAGCAATCTTCTGTATAAGGCATTTTACGTTGCACACGATATTAAAATAGCACCTGATCGTAGTTAGTATATGTTCCATTATGTATTATCATATTCCTGGTTAATTGGCGTCGTCTTGATATTGTGGACTAAAAGTTGAGCCACTAGCGGAGGCGGCCACGTTCTCATAATAATAGAGTGTGCATTCTCTGCTACGTTTCCATGGCGTAATTGAAACGATGACAAACTACGCTGTTCACTCAAGGCCTTCTGTAGTGCCCATGGATGGAGATATAATCCGACAGCGCAGGCGTGAACAATTAAATTCAACGCTGTTAGAAATTCATACGCTAGGCTAGAAAATATGATAACCTAGCATAGAAAACATAGAAACCCACCCACGAATACAGTATATAAAAATGTCGGCCTGTACAGATTAATTCAATAAATATTAAATTTATACACAAAAAAAGCTTCAATTTTTAAATCATCCGTTGCAGTTATAAACAAACCCAGTAGCCTAACGTGGGTGACAATAGAATTCAGATACACATAATGAATTACTGCGTTAAAAAAGTATATTAATTGAAATGAGTCAAACTAAAGGCCTATATTTCTTTAAAAGAAGGAAATAATAATGATGGGACGCAGTTTTTTAATCGTGTAGCAAGAGTAATCGTTTTCACACACAAGAGAAATTTGCTATATAAAAATTTAAACGAACAATCTAATTTCTTATAATACGTAACCCCTTACGTTTCAAGTATAAATTTCCCATAAAATGCATGCGCATATATACTCAGTGTTTTGATAATTATACCAAATACACACGATAAATAAACTTAGAATTGGTATTGTTATAAATATACATGCACAGATATTTCATAAACGATTTTGCACAGACAACCTAACGAAATAATAAAACTGAAACCATGCTTATAAAAAGGCGTTGTCAAACTTTATCTAAGCTCATTCCCATGCCCTTTCATCCCAATTTCATTGTGCGCTTAATCATTTTAATTATAACACTCGAACCCAAAACAGCATTACACTCGCAAAGCTACTACTACACAATCGTACTCAACTCCATCATCTCAGATTTCATACTCTCACTCCCTCACACACACTCGCCTTGAATTGACAGTCACCATCGTTGGATTGCAACATGCTGTGGTAGCGATAGAAAAATTGTATGAAAGACCTACAAAAATACTGACCGGTGAATGGTTTCTACCTTTCACCGGATATTTATGACGTAATCACAAGATGCTCAATTTGATGAATAACTAAAGTATACATTGAGGACCTCGATACATGGAATCACGGCTAAATAGACGCTCGATTTGACGATCTTCCTGATTCGCGAAATTGCACGAGCATTTCGTCATCATCGTTGAAATGATTATACTGTGAATGACGTAACGGGAGTGAATTTTGTATAGTATTATGCGGAAGATATGTACCACAATTAGTTCGTGAATGATTAGAATTTTTCTTGAGGCAAGAACACGTACAAAACGCACGGAAATCCTTCTCTGTACTATACGTTGTCCTGTTAATATTATTCCTGTGTGAATTGCAATGATCAACATACGTTCTTTCCATGTCATTATCATGTAAGTGGTTCATTTCGAAACTATGGCTCCTTTGTTGTAACTGATTTTCCTCTTGCTCCCGGCGTTCGTCTTCTGTATTCAGAGTTAATAAACGCAATACAAGTAAATTCATCACAGACGCTACAATCACAAGCGCAATGAGAATGTATAAGATACTAAACGCAACGTAGCTAGCGTTGTCTTGTAAATCGTTATCTTTCTGAAGGGCGACGTAGTCGCCGAATCCGACGGTAGTAAGAGTGATAAATACATAGTAATAAGCTTCTAAAAAATTCCAACCTTCAAATTTGGCAAAGGCAAATGCTCCAAGAAAAGTCGCAGATATGCTCATGAATCCGCCGAGCATGACAAGCTCCGTATGAGATACATCGTCGTTATGGAATCCGAGAAGTCGTTTGAGTCGTTTAACAACAAATGCCATAAACACGTTCAGTCGTTCTCCAACACTCTGGAACATAACCAAATTTAAAGGAATCCCACAGACAGCATACATCATACAAAAAACCCTGCCTCCATCAGTACGAGGCGCAGAGTGGCCGTAACCTGAAAAAAAAAGGGAAAAAAAGAGAAAATAGTTGATCTACGATTCATGTAATTTAAATCATTTCTTCATCTGCTTATTAGTTATTAAACTATTCATATTTCGTGAAACAAATAATAACATATTCTATTCATACAATTAAAAAATATTTTCAATAAATAACAAATATTGGCAATTTAATTAACAATAATTTAAAATAATCCCCTATTTATAATAATAATGGAAACATAAATAACAAACAGGCCTATTATGTTAAAAAATAGGCCTAATAATAAAAATAATAATGATAATAATAATGTTGTTAATAATATATATACATATATATACATATATATATA